GCAAACCTTACGGGAACAATAGTTGAAAAATACAAAAACCTGTCAGAGCAATATCTATAAATTTCTGTTTGTCTACAGAACGACACCCTGCAAAAACCTCAGGAAAAACAGTCTTTGACTCTTAAAAGAGAAGTGCATGTTAGTTGGCTTCACTTTGTAGACTCCTAGTGTAATATCTGGCAAATACACTGTTTTGCACTAGTGCTACTTGATGGATAGCGTCTGGGGCTACAAAAGCCACAGGCATCCCCACATTAAAATCACTACTAGGACTAAGTGATCCTTAGTAGTTCCTGTTAGGATTGAAAGAAGCCCTTTGGCAAACAAACCTTAAGGAAATTTAACAGAAGAAAAGAGTTTATTACTTAAATGCCTTCTTCAGAGTACAAGTCATGCCCCAGGGAGATATTTGGGTTTCCTGGATGTAGTGGTAACTTTAAGACATAAATGATAACGAGTCAAGTCTTGAAAAAGAAAATAAAGAACAAAAAGAAAAACCTGGGGGCAACTGGAGTGGTAGAAAGAAATCAGCCACAACCTGCCAGTTAGAGAGATACACAAGTTTAAGTAGAACCAAAGGAACTTCCATTGTAGGAGCCTGGTAAACTACTTCTGATCAAATATTGAGTCAGCCATATAAACCATAGCACCCAAAAGGAGAGAGAGAGTAAAAGGGAATGAGCCTGCCACAAAGGCGGTGGGTAGGGGGAGGACGAGGGGGGTGGTGGGAGGATTACTGGGAACATTGGTGTTGGAGAATGGGCACTCCTAGAGGGACGGGTACTCGATCACTGTATGACTGAAATGTCATCATGAAAGTTTGTTGAGTCTATAATTGAGTCTCACCATGATTCATTAAAAAATATTTTTAAAATCACTGTATCACTGTCATCCAATTGATCATCTAATTGCTCGAGCGGGCGCCAGTAACGTCTCTATTCCTCCCAGCCCTGAGATTTTAGCAGCCTCTTCTTACTTGTCTTTTCCCAACAATTGGAGCGTCTTTTAGGGTCAAGGGAATGAGACCTGTTGTTGTTACTGTATTTGGCATATCAGTTATGCCACGGGGAGCTTGCCAGGCTCTGGCCATGCAGGCAGGATACTCTCAATAGCTTTCTGGGTTCTCCTAGAGGCATATATTTATATATTTTTCTCTATTAATTGTTGTCTACTGTCTGAACTCCATCAGCTATGGTGCAGTAACAGGGGAAAACGGGTAGGAAGTGTCTTATAATGTGGTCTGGAAAGTGGCCTGGAGTGTGGCAGTGGTTAGGTAGTGGAAGTCGGCTGCCAGGACTGGGTCCCTTGAGGCGGGGAGGGCTCTCATCTGCCTCACATTCTGGTGCAGAGTCTTGGCACAGAACAATATGAAATTGTTTATCATCAAAGAAGCACCATATTGTAAGTAAAACATCTAAATCAGTGGAATTCTGATTATGAGATTTCAAGAACCAATATATATTTAATGGGTTGACCTAGTGTTGCAATTTTTAATTTTTACTTTCATAATAAAAATCTGTTTAGAGCTAAATAAATAAATAAGTAGATAAATAAACTAAAATTAAAAAAAATAAGAAATAAAGTGGGTTCCTCCAGGACAATTTTATTGCAAAAAAAAAGTCAACTTCAGAAGCTTACCTGAATTGAGATTTTTAATCTGGACCCAGTGGAGTTGAAGTTTGACATGTACTCAAAACTTCCCTAAACACTCCAAAGCTTAGAGTGGTTTTATTCCTAATCTCCCATCTTTGGAATCAATAATTGCCTCTGTGTGTAAATGTAGAAATCCATTCAGATCAGGGAATGTTAGAGTTAGAAATAAAAGCATAGGCAGGAAGGGTCCTTGGATATCACTATATATCTTAGAACACTTCTTCCTATGTGAAGAAACCGATCTAATTCCAATTATATGACATTCTGAAACAGCAAGAAAAGGCATGCTATAAAAATATGAGCTGTTGTAAGAGGCAAGGGAGGGATGAATAGACAGAACAGAGACATTTTAGGGCACTTCAACTATTCTCTGTGTTGCTATAGTAGTAAATATATATATAAAAAACATGTATTATGCACTTATCTAGTGCAATAGAACAATTAAAATGGTTAACTGTAGATTTTAATACATGCTTGTATAGACACAATAGTGATATCATGAGAGAAAATAAAAATAAACTCATTTTAATTAAGAACATCTTGAGATTAGAAAAAAATCAGTCAAGGAGTTATTATGAGTAAAGAATAATGAAACTCATTGCTAGTGATGGTGTTAGATAATAATGGTCAATGCATATGCATCAGTTGTAATAAATACAGTTTCCCAGAACTGTGTCCAGTGGAGGGGTTGTTGAGAAAGGGAGTGTTTGTAAGTGGTGAATGTACTTAGCAGGCATGAAACTGCCCATGTAACTCTGTACTTTCTTTTTAATTTTACTGCTCTAAAAATAAATTGCTTAGAAAGGGGGAAAATGGTGCTGCATCCATTGTGCTTGCGGCCACCCCATGTACAAGCATCCGGGAGAGGTGTTATAAAGAGATTATTGTACACTGGGATCATGTTGCCATGGCAATTTGACTATAAGTTCCCCAGTTACTCTGATGGCCACAGGGGAGGTCAGAGCTAAGCACATGTAAGCCCCTAGTCTCTGGAGAATTAGGGAATGTTTAAGTGGATCCCTGAACAATTGTTTGTGAGCTCTGCTTGTCAAATCTGGAAAGTCTCTTTTCTTTCCTTAAGCAAATGCATCTGACAAGATTCATTCCATTTTGAGTTGGAAGTAACTGTAAAAAGAAATGGAGAAAATATGTCAATGCAATAAACTTATCAAAGTCTGTTCTAGAAATTACGTATGATACTTTTCACTGAATAGCATTTAAATTATATAACATTTTATGATCCTTTTAACTGAATGACATACAAATTATCTAAGAGGTATCTGTAATTCACTTATCCTGATTGATTTGATTTTTACATATTGATACCCTGTGAAATAGCACTTTAATGACTTCATTGTAAAACATTATCTTGGATTTGTCCAAAAGTCTCATAAAATATTTTCACAAATCCTTGGCTTGTTCGTTACTTTATATATTGAATTCCCTTTTATATAATTATCAATGTGATAAAACATTGTTCTTTTTAATAAGGATGCTTGAGGCTTATTCATATGCATGAAATAGAGGTATCATTTATTATAATATTATTATAATTTCCTTGGATATAAATGATTTTCACTTCTATTTAGCTTCAGGAAAGTTTTCCTAAATCCCCTCAACTATATATCTTCAAATTTTGAAAGTTATAGGCTCTTTTTCTTTCAGTGCCTGAGGTTCTCCTTTCAAAGCCATTACACGTACAATCAATTCAGCTTTTTTGTAAATGTGGTTCATAATTCCATATTCAAAATACTTCTAAAATAATTCTTCATAATTTCAAGATTTTTTATTTTCTCTCAGTTTCATATAGTGTCTATAATCGTGTTTGTTAAATTCTGCAGTTAGCAATTGTAATTGTTATTATTCCATGAATTTTACTACTAATAATAAAGTATGTTGCTTGTTTTTATTTGGTTGTTTGTGGGAGTTGGTACACACACACCAGCACTGTGGACTACCCTTGGCTCATTTCTCAGGAGTGACCCCTAGCAATGTGCAGGAGAGCTAGACTTGATGCTAGGTACAGCAAGCACTTGATGCAGAAGGTACAGAAAACACCTTACTCCCTGAAGTTTCCTCACCCCTGACGCGTATTTTCAATTGAATGTATGATGTATTTTCCCAAAGTGACATGGAGAAAATATTTATTACCAAAAAATGGTGGTTGTTAAGAATGGATCAATGTTTAAAGTAGCAAATACGTTTATAGTATTTATGATATACAATGGGCTAGAGTGATAGCACAGCAGTAGGACGTTTGTCTTGCAAGCCGCCTGCCCAGCCCAGCCGCGTTTGATTCCTCAGCCCCTCTCAGAGAGCCCGGCAAGCTACCGAGAGTATTTCGCCCGCATGGCAAAGCCTGTCAAAGTCTGGCAAAGCCTGGCAAGTTACCTGTGACGTATTTGATATGCCAAACACAACAACAACAAGTCTCACAACGGAGATGTTACTGAGCCCCCTCGAGCAAATTGATGAATAATGGGAGGACAGTGCCAAGTGCTATGATATGCAATGCAAATGTATGCATATATCAGAATATGTACCTATATTATGGTCCATTTACAGAAAGACACATTTTATCAATTTTATCATATTTTATCACATATTTTATCATATTTTATCGAGACAATTTTATGGCAGTTCATAGCCCATTGAAAAATTGTGCCTGAATATATGTTTTAGACTTTTAATTTTGCCATACAGAGCTACATGCATATATGCATGAAGGATATAAATTTTGATTTTACTCTTAACCCTAAATATTAATTCATGAAAATGACCGTTTGTGTTAATTTTGAATTAGTCCTATCACATAATTTTGCTTATAAATGCTTAAAAATAATGCTTATTGCGTTTAATTTCTGACAAAATGGCTTCTTCATCTTGATTAATGTTAAAATTCCAATCTTTGTGATCTTTGTTCAAATGCCCACACCCCTTCACTTTACATCATCAGACTTTGCAAGCCCTATTAGAAGTTATGTATATTTTCTGCAAGAGAAAAACGAACCCCTATTCCAGTCAACTCAGCTGATACTTGTGAAGAACGCAAAGCAACCTTCCTCAAGCCCCAAGTTTGGGCTCTGGGACACCCTCCATGGGGCACCCGCCACAAGGCCCTACAAGCAATGGGCAACTTTCATTTGCCACTTATAGAATGACTGGAAACTTGAGACTATAAGCCATACACTCCAATGAGGTCATTTGAACACACTCTAAAGACAATATTTATCTCATCTACCTGACTCAAAAAAATATTTACTAAGAATTTATTTCTTTAAAAAATAACAATCTATGAAACTTCTCATGATGTGTATGTAAAACAGTTTTGTTGTATTTGGTTGCAGGAGTTATTCGAACTGCCTTACATAACATGGACAGAGAAGCCAGAGAACACTACTCAGTGGTCATTCAAGCCAAAGACATGGCTGGACAAGTTGGAGGCCTTTCCGGGTCCACCACAGTGAACATCACCCTGACTGACGTCAATGACAACCCTCCACGCTTTCCTCAGAGTACGTATCAATTTCCTAGAATCCTGGTTTTCATTATTCACTTATGCAAGAGAAGTTCTTTGATAGAGAATGCTCTGTGACACTTACCGTCAATACCTAATTTTAGTTTTCTCAATATGGTGTTCGCTTTTTATTTCCTTTTCTATATTTGGTTTTAAGGGCATGCTTAGTGATTCTTGGGGCTAACTCCTATCTCCGCTCAGGGATCCCTCCTTGCAGAGCTCAGGGGTTCATATGCAGTACTAGCGTGGAACGGGGCCATCAAACCGGAGAGGCCTAGTCAAAGCAAGTGCTTTAATATTTGTACTATCTCCCATTCTACAGAAGGTCCTTTTAAAAATATATATTACTTTTTTGTTGTGTGTATCTGGGCCACAGTCAGCACAGCTCAGGGCTCTGTGGTTAGGGAGCATGCCTGGTGACACAGGGATACTAGGGGTTTGAACAGGGGTTGACTACTTGCATTGCAAGTGTCTTTCCACTGTATTATTCTCCAGCCCTCAATTCCTTTCATTAAATAATGCTAAAGAAATTTCTGCACCTATGTCTTCTGATCCTAGTAGAGAGCTGTCACTGAGTTGAAGGTTAGCACATCACTTGACATCACAGTAAAATACTAAAAATGATATAGAGGTACTAAGCAGTTATAGCCTGCATTTGCTGAAGTTGTGTTTTACAAAGGTGTCCATGGAAGTATTCCACTTCTCTTTTTGTACGGTGTTGTCATATAAATAAATGTTCATGTCCTCTTTGTCTTGTATTTTTAAAATCCTTCATACCACCATGCATGCTGGGCTGGAGTAATGGCACAGTGGGTAGGGGTTCAAATTCCTCCACCCCTCTTGGAGAGCCCGACAAAGTACCAATAGTATCTCGATGCCCACCCAGCAAAGCCTGGCAAGCTACTAGTGACATATTCAATATGCCAAAAACAGTAACAACAAATCTCACAGTCTGTTGTGAAACGTTCCTGGTGCCTGCTTGAGCAAATTGATGAACAATGGGAGGAGAGTGGGAGAGTGCTACCTTGCAGTGCTACCATGCATGCTGGCATCTCGTTGCTTTTCTTTTTCTATCTATCAGTCTCGCACACAAGCATACATGCACTGAAGCACATACCCCTCCAGAGCAGAACAGGTACTCTACTATGGGGGTTCTCCATGTACTATCCGATCCTTTAGACGAATACAAACCAGCTATACACTTAGAGAGAAAAGGTATAAGTTGTGATATAAGCAACCTTGGTCATTTCCAGTATGTAAAATGAATACATCTAATCATGTTACATCCAAGCAAATAATTCTTATTATTACTCATAATAATATGGCAAAAACTATGTATAACTTTATATAGAATAATTTTAACTGTGTACAAACTCTATTTTCTTCTCTACACATCATGCTTAGAAGCTAACTGATACTGTGGTGTGTTAATAACAGCTCTTCACAAGCTGGCGTAAAATGCTTTCCACACCTTTATCTCTCAATGTTGTGTTCAAAGTACTCAAACCTGTCTTCTATAATATAAAACCTGTTCCGTAAGCCGAGGGACATTTTTATCTTCTTAAGTCAGCTTAGAATTCTCTGTATTCATATCCCTTTGTTTAAAGGCCAAGACATAACTTCTCAGAATTTTGATGAAGGATTAGCAGAATTAAGGCTGGCTTGGATTGTTTTTGTGAACTCAAGTTTTCCGATGAATCCTTGAGAAATGAGTATTAAATGAGTGAGTCATATGAGTCGAATCTAAATCTCTGTTTTACTCTCATTATCAAAAGCACTTTGTTAGGGAGTAAGCATGGCAGGTTTATCATTTTATACAATTTATTTCTTTTTACTTTGGGGGACATAGTCACACCCAGCTATGCTCAGGGCTGACTCCTCTCCCTGCACATATAGTGGTCACTCCTGTTGTTGCTAAGAAGATCAGATGGGGTATCTGGGATTGAACCTGGGTCAGCTTTGTGCAAGGCAAGCGCTCTAACCACTGAACTCTTTCTCTGACACCTCAAAAAAACCTTAAGTATTGGTTTCAAAGATATGACTATGTGTCCTGGTCCATTTTCATGGTTGTGACTATATGAAAAAAGTATATTTGAAAAAATTATATGACACTGGTTAGCCCACATTAAAGTAAGAGATATAATTTACTAATAAACCATTCTATAAATGATGAAGAATTTTTGTATTCATGTTTCGCTTATTTGATACTACATCCCTGTGTGTACATATTGCCATGACTATTTTTCACATAATGAAGAAAATGAATCTCAAATATTTTAAAAGCATAATATGTGACAATGCAAAACCTAACGGAACACAACTTTATTATCATGAATCTTTGTTTAGACAGACTCTTCCTCCACTCCATTACTTGTTCTGTTAATATAATCTCAATATCATTCCTTAATCTCAAATATAAGCATTTGGGGATCAATAAATGCTGAAAATGCTACAAATGTGTCACATTCACTCACCCTCCTCTCCATAATAAGTCCATTAAAATGATTTTAGAAATCAGCAGGAAATTGGGGCTCTGATGAATATAGAAAAAATTATCTGTGATTTATTATTTTGACTAATCAAGTATTATCCATGAAGCATCAGTTTATAGTAAAACAACTGCTGTCCTGACAAGAAAAAAGAATTAATCTATAGTGTCTGGGTGGGTTATTGTTTCTAATGGAAGCTTCTTTGTCTTTCTTCCATAGCAGTTTACATAACATGACCGGCAGGTGTCAATCACATTACACTTCCAAATGCACTTAGTGTTTTTTTTTTTTTGGCTGAAGGTGGTAAACACACATAACCTAAAACTGGATTTTTGAAAGATTCTTTATTTTATTTGGACAAGATTTCATAAAAACATAGATGCTTTCAGAATGACTGAGGCTTTAAGAAGGATGTGTTGGTCAATTTGACATGAAGTAACACATCCTTTATTTACCCATAACATTATAAGATCTTTTATGCATATGTAGGTATACAGGTGCATATAATAATGCATATGTGAGCTGAAGAGATAGTACAGTGGAAAAAGCACTTGGCTTGTGCATGTCTAGCCCATGTTTGATTTTTGGCATCCTACTTGATCCCCTTTGCACCTCCAGAAGTAATTTCTATAGTTTCTCAGTCTTTTTGCTAAGAAGTAATTCATGAGTGCACGAAATAAGTAGGAACTTAATACCACTGGTGTGACCCACATTTTGGCCCCCAAAACAATTATATTCATATATATATGTATATATATGAATATCTGTCACTGCCATTGCCCTCCCGTTGTTCATCGGTTTTCTCGAGTGGGCCCAGTAACGTCTCTATTGTGACACTTGTCGTTATTGTGTTTGGCATATCCAATATGTCACGGGTAGCTTGCCAGACTTTGCCGTGCGGGTGAGGTACTCTCGGTAGCTTGCCAGGCTCTCCAAAAAGGGCAGAAGAATCGAACCCAGCTCAGCTCTGCACAAGGGAAACTCCCTACCCATTCCAACCCATATAAACATATAATAATATACATATGTGTGCACATGACTATATAATGAACTTGATGATATCTATTTAATGTGAGAAACTTTTGTAACTGCTTAGACAAAAAAAGTGATACTTCAGGAGACTTGCCTTCCTAAGTACCATAAAAGGTACAAATCTACACGCGATTGATATTGGAGGAAAATCATTGTCAGTTACCAAATGATTCCATTACTCTTTTTCATGTAACGCCTTGGCAGTTCTGAAATCCTCTCTCTTTAGCTGAGAGAAGCTGTCTTTTTCACACCAAAGCTGTTATTGACTCCGGTATAAACATCCATCACACAACGCTTTGCAAAAACATTCCCAGAAAGTGTTCTTAGCCCCCTTTCTTCTATTAATTTGCTAATGCCCGTGAAAGTGACTCACGTTGTTGCATCTTATTATATTTTAATTTAAGGCTGTCACTGTACGCTAAAGTGTCTCAGCTTTTGGTGAGTGAGAACTAGAAAGTGAATTTCACAAAGAAATTGCGTTACCTTCTCTGTGGAGTTGCAAATGCAGTGACATAGAAAATTAGGGGCATAGTGGTCCAGGCTGATAGAGACTGTTTGACAATATCATAGAAGCTGTAGGGAGGCATGCAGAATGAGAACTGCTATAGTTGAATTCCAGGTAGTGCTTACGTATGGGCAGGGAAATGCTAGGGTGGACGGTAATTGTAAGACTCACAGTAAGGGTTTGGATGGATAGTCAAGGGGTGAAGACACTTTCCCTGCATATGGCTAACTCAGATTGGATCCCTGACACCACACATGTTGCCCTGAACACTGTCAGGAATGATCCCTAAGCACAGAACCAGGTGTAAGCTCTGGACACCGCTGAGTGATATTCCATATAAAAAGCAAACAAGAGCTGGAGCAATAGCAGAACGGGTAGGGTGTTTGCCTTGCACGTGGCCGACTGTGGTTCAATTCACAGCATCACATATGGTCCCCTGAATACCACTGGGAGTAATTCCTGAGTGCATGAGCCAGAAGTAACCCCTGTGCATTGCCAGGTGTGACCCAAAAGAGCAAAAAATATATATATATATATTATTATATACATTATATATAATAATATATTATATCATATATAATATGTGATATATGATATATTATATCATATGTGTGATATATATTAAAAAAAGTAAAGGCCCTCCCGTTGATCATTGATTTGCTCGAGCGGGCCCAGTAACGTCTCCATTGAAGACTTTGTTGTTACTGTGTCTGGCATATCGAATACTCTCGGTAGCTTGCCGGGCTCTCCGAGAGGGGATGATATATATAATATATATAATTATATATATATCATATATATATGATATATATCATAAAAGCACACGATTTCTTACTTACTCAAATGATACAAAGAATGCCTGATATTTAATCTACTCTACTTAAGATTGTTTGTATTTATGATTCTGCTTTTAATGATATTAATGGTATTTTATTGACATTATTTTGTTTTTTGAGAGAGAAAAATGCACTG